ATGATTTAATTTTGACATTATTTTTATGTCAATTGTTTGATCGTCATTGCTTCCATTCCAGAAATACTATTGTAATGGATATTAGCCTTAAAACAAATTTCTTAATTATGTCAAGTATATTAGCCTTCCAGTCATTCATGATTACATATTGATCATGGAATGGAGGTTGTTTAGTTTCTTATAAGAGAGGTAGGAACACAGGAGTTGATGGGAAAAGCTTCAAAGCCGAGGCCACCCCTCTTTGATGCTTGTGACTTGCAAGATTATACTTATTCAATTATCTAACTTATCTCCACTGACATAAACAGCTTACTTTAAAGTAGTAAAGCTTTGAGTAGATTGTAGTCTGTAAAGATACTTCTATAGTTCTCTTCTCTTCTATTGTATTCTTTTGTTGTAGTTCTAAGGAGAGTTACAGAGATTTTTTGTTGATTTTGCCTAAACAATTCTCGGCTAAATGTTAGTCTTGTGATTAGTAATTTTTATAGAATTGTTGTTGTTGCCTTATGCAGTGCCTTCTAAAACCTCTAAAGATATAGCTCATTTAATTTTAATGAATTACTTTCGTCTTAACTAATTTGTATAAATGATATATTCTAGAAACTAGGCTTAGATTTTTATCTTAAGAAAAATAGTATAAACTTAAATTAACCCATTTAAATTTTTAGATATGATCTTAAGTCATGCATGTGTTGCACTTACTTTGTTTCTCTTATCATCCCACAATATTAATCCTCTTCATTAGTGTGAAACATTCTTATTTATAGTAATTGTGTAAAGTTATTAAACTTTAATAAAATTAGTGAACTTGATTTGCTAATTTAATCATTTCCACTGTATGCTATTAGGCCTTGTTAATACATAGCCCATTTTGGTGTAATAATAGCATTTGAATATTCAATAACTTAATTCCTTGGCTTCTCCTTATAAAGTATTGTGAAACTCATACCTTATTGACTTATGCAACAGACTATCCTATTAAGTTTATGGTTGCTCCTTAAGTTGTGTTCCCTGTGTGAGCTAAAAGAGTAATATAGTCTTTGTAGTGTTCAATTTAAGATGCACCGATAGCCTTTATGTTAGATGTTGCTTTTATTTTATAGATATATATTTTTATATATATAATTTTTTTTATAGATTTTGATTTTTCAGTTTATTTAGTTAGGTCTTCTAAATCCGTTATTACACATCTACCACAACATTTTATGTTGAGCAATGATCAAGCACCAATCTATGATAAGGAAGGTCATATCTGAATAAGGCTTTCCCAATTTTGTCGTAGTTGATTGAGCTTGTCGTTATTCAATGATCTATTTAAATTGTGTAATAGGTTTTCAAGTATAAGTTAATTATTTTAATTATGCTTATGTGCTATTTTTCTTTTTCCACTAAGAATATGCTTAAAACATTAAACACTTTTAAAAGTCGTTAAACTACTTTTCTTCGGCTTCATTAGATACTCAACAATTATCCTTTTATATACATTATTCATGTTTATTAAATACTTTGTTTCTGAGTTTTTTTGTGAAATTTATCTTTTCCTTAGATGGGCTCACCTGAAAGATATGATCATATTTCTTGGATTGATTTATCTAAAAAATAAGAGATTGAAAAGAACAAGAAGAAGAATACACAGAAATTTGTAGTAGAGGAAAAGGTCAAGTCGAATATGAAGAACACCAACTCTGCATAGAAGAGAGAAATCAACGAGTCTTTACAGGCTTCAGCATGAAAAAAGATTATGTTTCTCTTGAGAGGATAAATAGAAGATTTGTAAATATTTTGGATGGCCTAGAGTTGCACATTGGCATTTTTAATTCTATGGAACAAAAAGAAATTGTGCAATTTATCTATGATTTGCAAAACAAAGGAAGGAAGAATGAACTTGGAGGTATGTTCACAAAATATTAAACTTTGAGTTCATATTCATATTTATTTGAGTTTTGGCATATATAATTGTTGATGTTTTCCTTAATTTGTTCCTTGATTAATATGTCTAAAAGTATAACATTTATATTCTTAGTCATTTCTTTAGAATTTTATCTTATCTTATCATTTATAACATTTGATAAATTTTAAAATTTTGTTTAGAGCATACATATTCTTAACTAAAAACATGGATGCGTGGAAAAGGACAAGTTACAATACAATTCGGATGTTGTTATAACTACGCGGTTCTAATTTGAACTTATTTATTTGTATATTTATTGATTTTAAATAAATTTAAAACTAACAATGAAGTTAATTACAGGAAAAGAACGGGATCCCTCCGGGTATGCTTCGTAATGTGATTGCTGATCCTATTCCAAATCTCTTCTAGATTATGATAAAATGATTAATTACATCGCATGTTCTGCCTATTAATTATGTACATGATAATTGCATTATTAATATATATGAACCTGGTGATTGCATACCGCCTCATATTGACAGTCATGATTTTGTAAGGTCATTTTCTATCGTGTCATTTTTAAGCGAGTGTAATATAATGTTTGGACACAAGCTAGAAATTGTTGGATCGGGTGAATTCATTGGATCAGCTTCAAATCCTCTTCCAGTTGAGTAAGTATAAGATATTATTTTTCTTCCTTTCATATTTTAATTTTTTTTAATAAGTTAGAAGTTATACAATAAACTCTTCTATGGAAATTAGATAATTTTATATCATATAGATTCTTAACTTCAAATATCAAATATTCAGATCTGTGCTTGTCTTAAATGGAAATGGAGATGATCTTGCTAAGCATTGTATTTCTGCAGTTTCCTGCAAAAAGTTTCATAATTTAACATCATTTTCAATTATACATCTATCTAGAACTTTTAATGTATTTAATTTTTATTTTCTTAAATTTTGCAGGATATCTGTTACTTTTAGAAAGATGGATAAGGTTAAGCGACCGCATAACTTCAAGCTTAATTCAGATTTACAAATATAAAGTCTTCTGATTTAAATGATGCTTCTGAAGCATATCATTTATATAAGAGGATGCCTTTATAGGGTGATAATATTGGATTTTTTTCTTTTTTCTTCACTTCACAACTGCTATCTTTTGTGACTGGTTGATAGACTTATGCTCGTGACTGGTTGGTTGACTTATGCTCATGACTAGTTGGTAGACTTTTTTTTTCTTGGTTAATTTAATTATATCCTACTGGTTGGTAGACTTATGATTATGATAATCAAGCTATTTTAATTATATAATATTAGTATTTGAAGCTATTAATTGCAGTAAGATCACCAACATAGAGGATAAATCAATAGCAATTTAGAGTCTTTTTTTATTTTTGGGTTTAGATTCTACTTCTTAATTTTGCTACTAGACTTTGTGAGTGGTTGATTTTTTCTCAAGTTATATAGGTTTGGTGAAAGGTTGTATGAATTATGTTGGTTTAGAGATTGCTTAGGAGATTTGCTCATGGAATAAGAGGAATTGGTGAGAGGATGAGCTTGTGTTATAACATGAATTGACAAATGGGTCTTATTTATATGTTTAGTTAATACAATAAATTAATAATGATAGATTTCTTATATATTGAAGTGATCAATTCATGTGCATTAATCTTTTGTTGTACATTTTTTTGTAATTTGAACAAAATGATCTATTTTGGAGAAAAGGAAGAAGATTTTTTTTATCCACTATTTTGATCAAAGTTAAGAAAATTTAAGAAACCTATAAATCTATATTATCTTTTTAAAATTATTTAGCCGTCGTTTCTTCTGAACAAAATTAAAAACATATAATTAAAATTTTTATTCAAGTGCATTTAATGCACATGTATTTAATGCTCAAATACATTTTAATTTTATTCGCTTGCATTTAATGCATGTGCAATAAAATTAGACCCTTTACAAGCAAGTAAATCATTGTCACTTTGCTATGTGATTTTACATTTCGTTAAGCATTCTCTTTGATTTTAAGCATGATGGATATTGGATATAAAAAAAATAAAAATAAAAACATGTGATTACTATTATGACTATAATGATGATTATCATAATAATAATAATAATCTTAATTTGTGTTATTCATATATTTAGCACGAGAGAAATAAAAAATATCTTAATTTCATTATATCTCTAATGAACGAATAATTCATTTGCATTATTATGATTGTAAGATAGTAATCTATGGGTGATCAGCTGTTCTTTTGTGAATGAATTATAATAAACTTATTCTTCTTGTTACCCTTTTAATTTAGTATATAAATATTATGCTTAATGATATATTTATAATGAATTTTTGAGCTTTTCTTCTAAATGTGAATGAATTATTTTTATGATATTAGTTCTACAGGAAAAAAATATGTATTTTAGTATTGAATTATAAAATTATATTAATTTTTTATATATATGATAATTTTAAGAGAAACATATAACTTTTCATTAGTATAATTAATAATTAGAATTCTTTAAACGGATAAAATTAATAACTTTATTTTTAATAAAAAAAATATAATTTAATTTTTCATAAGATAAGTTTTAAAAAAAAATTTATTCACATGCATTTAATGTCACTATCAATTAGGCAAGCATAAAATTTTATTAATTTTGTTCATATAATAATTTAATCTTCTTATAATATATATTTATTAAATTCAAGCAACGTGCACAAAGTGCACGGGCAATAAAACTAGTCCAACAAATGTCTAAATAAATCAATCATAACACAGTTTAAAGCACCATGAGATTCAGGGTTGCACAAACTGAAATCAATGTCAAATTGCAGAGCTGACATTCTCTCATGTTACGACATATGTTCCCATCACAAGTGTGCATGGGAAAGGCAAAAACACTAGTCTACCAAAAAATGGCAGCTAATTATACAACAAATGGTTTTGCGTGCATTAACTTTTCACCAATGAGCACCAAAAATATGGAGGCACATAAAATAATTTATCGAATCATACAAAATGAAACCCTCAATTGTAAGCTAATAATGGTGATGAGTGAGAAGACAGTAGAAACAAAATATAATTCTCAATATGACAAATATACTAACCTGTACAATAAGAGTGTCTTCCAGAGAAGGAAGGTATTCAGCCATACACCTATGAAATTGTAGAAATTTTGAAGTCATGAATAGAAACAACTAATGGTAACAATAGAATTCTCAGCCACAACTGCCAAAAAAGAGTGAACAAAATATTGATTAAAATAACCTTTTAACCTGATAGGATGACTTACATTCCATCAACCCAAGAAGGAAGCTTCACGTCTTCAACTGATAACAAGTCCTTCAGCTGTGAAGAAGACACTAACTTTATGCGTGGTGCCAAAGGAGCGAGAGAATAACTTTTAGAAACAGGAAACACAACCTGCATGATTATAACTATAAGAATATGAAAAGTAATTAAAACCTCAACCAAAAAAAAAAGTGGAAGTATTAGTAAGAACAAATCATCAGTAGAACATATTATTGGCAAATATTTCCCCACCTCTATCAAAATTAACTTCAATCTAACTGTCATCCTCTTAAACCTATTATATTAAATTTATTTAATTATCTTATTGATATATCTTCTACCAGTCACTGAGCATATCTAAAACACCTAAGTCTATTTTTCACTGTCTTATTTTGAATAGATGTTATTCTCATCCGACTTCTAATATAATCATTTATCAATTTATTCTTCCTAATTTTATCACACATCCATCTTAACATTCTAATTTCTACGACATTCAACATATTTATTGTTGTAACTCGAGCTTATGAGTTTATGTTTTTGATGATGATAAATATTGTGGCTCACATCCTGTTTCTTATTTGTATTTGCAATATATTTTTGTTTGTATGTACTAACTTTTCAAGAATTCTATACACCATCCAATAAAGATTCAAGGCTCAAGATTGGATAGAATAAGTTATGTTGTAACAATTTTTGTAATATTTATTGATGTATTTTTTATTTCTTGAGTCATGTCCTATAAGGGTGTATGCTTGTTTGGTGACCATGTACACACACTTAGGGGGAGTGAGATTGAGTCAAAACCAGAAGTTCAAGTTTTGAACTAATCGTACTGGACAATATAATGACAATCAGCTCATTAAACTGATCGTACCGGACGATTTCGATCATCTTGGACGATCCAGTCACCAATGATAATTTAACCAAGAATTTAAAGATTCAAATTTTGTTCTAATCTTCCTGGGGCTGGCTTGTTTGAGCCAACACAACCAACTAAGACTAAGTAAGACTCAAGTTTATGGGGTGAGAACAAGTTGTCAAACCAAGCCCCCGGCTTAAGATTGAATTGAATAGTTTACATTCAATATGTGGGAGGAAAAAATCAGAGACAAAATATTTAACTTTCAAGGTACAAAAAGGGGAAATTTTGGAAATTCTTTTCTTAAAATAAATAAAAAAACTCAATATTTTCTTTGAAATTTATTTATTGTGGTTACACATTCTGTAGCTCCCCTAACGTACAAAAAGGAAGCAACACTGAACTTACTTGCATCAAATGTCAAAAATATGAAATGCATACAAGCTGTTCGTGATATTAAAAGAATGCATGGCAAAGAAAACAACACAAATTGCACAAATGCAAGTAATTAAACAAAAAAAAATTCTTCTAACCTTCTTAAATCCTATACCAGCCGTATTAAATATTCGTTCCGAATATGCCAAGCATGCTGTTACAGTGAATTTGTAGTTCTTGAGAATGATGAGCATTGCAAAATGGATGAGTTTAGAGTTTTAGATTTGTCAGTTATCCGAAGAAGGAAAAAAATAGTTAAAGATTATTCCAAATAGCTGGGATAAGATTGCTGCGACAATGATGATTTATCCCCGCCTAGAGACCCAAGAAAATCTTACAAAGCATGATCATTATGTGATATGACTTTGAATATATAACGAATATAATCATATAAGTATATTGCAAAGGACACTCAAACCTTAGTTTTGTAAAATCTTAAAATTTCAAAGATTCATTTTTATCAAAAAAGTAAAAGTTCTAATTTATAAGAAATTTTAATCAAACAAATTTAGAATGGCTGAATACCCTTGAACTAACCATTTTTCTTTCAAGAAGTTTAAACAAATCTAAGAAAAGACGACTTCAAAAATCCTAGTATGAAAAAAAAGGTAAACATGATATGTAATAGAACCAAGAAAGAGAAAAGAAATGTTACTATTAGGTTGTCACAAGATAATGGAATGAGGTCGAAATATTCTCTTGTAAAATTTACAATATTAATACAAAGATATTAAAACTCTACATGTGATAATGAATAGAAATATTTCCTGCTTAAAATATGATTATGTAATACATTGCAAAGAGAGCTCAACAAAACCTGCAAGTAGATCTTTTGTTCTTGTTTCCAAGGGCATGCGTGCACAAGTTTGTTCAAATTCACGTCTAGTAATGGTACAACAAATTTGACCTCCTCCGACTGGAAAATTAAAGGGGGATCTTGGTAAAAAAGGGCGAATGGGGCAAACCAAAAAAAATGTAATTATACTAAGCGCTGGAATGAGAAATTTAGGTGGTCCAATCATATTGTTGACGACAATAACAATGGAACTATCTATCAAAAGGGCATACCTTGTCAGGCCCAGAAATCAAACAGACTTCGATTCCCTGTAAGATAAATTGGATAAACTTTAATTCAATCAGAAAATCAAATTGAGTATGTGAACTGAAATGCAATTGAAATTGCATGTCAAACTCATGAGAAAAAAATAAGAGAAATTGTGAGTGTGAGAAATAGTGGCAAGTAAAATTACTAATACAAATAGAAAGCATCTTACAAGTCAAAAATCACTAAAGCAAACTGACAAATTTTGTAAATCAAAAATAGCATTTTCCTAATAACATTTATATTCCATCAATGTCATTTTTTTCTTGACTCCTAATTTTTAGACTACATTTGGCTCTTGGAAGCAATTAAACCATAGTTAAATCACTGTATCCCATGCTTCTTAGAGTCTTACATAATCATTCAGAAATGCTTTTGCATGTGTTTCACTGAGCATTTTCAATTCATCATTATCCACTTTGAATATAGAGAACTTTTTCACGATGTTGAATACTCAAACCACGCTCATGTCATGCTTAATAGTTGTGACAATCATTATCATTAAAAGAAGGTAAGAAGAAGATAGATTGAGATATGTGCGGTACTTCAATATTCAATCATGTAGATCTATCATGAGTTTATAACAAATTTTTACTCGATGCGGCAAACTTTTTCTATTGATAATTTACTAACCTTGATAAAAAAATTGAAATTATATTGAACATGAACTGTGCTAATTAAGAACTTATGTTCCACTCAAGTCAAATTCTTAGAACTTCCGTTAAAAGATTAAGTAATAGCAAGCGTTTACAATGAGATTAGCAGGACAATCGCAATAACAACGAAAACAAGATAATAATACTAATAGCAAATAAACAATAATTCACGACGTAACATCAAGATATAGTCACTAAGAGTTCCTTCTCACTCAATCACTCTTAGGCTTTAGTGGAGGAAGACGAAGCATACGAGGAAAAAGGCTACCACTATGAAGATGGCACCGAAGACCTTCGTTGATGGAGAGGTAGCCGAGGGTGGAGGTGGGGTGGATCTCCCGAGGAGAAGCCAAGGTGTCCTGGGTTGTTGAAGCTCGATCATCTCCACTAGGCAGTAGAGGATGTGGTTGACGTAGTCTTCCACCGATTCGTCGTACTTCCAGACAGGCTCGTAGAAAGGGGAGTGGAGAATGTCGATTTTCCCTTGGGCGTTGTAGGCAAGGTCATGGTCGACCTCAGGATCGGCCATGCACCAATGATGAGGATGAAGGAGGAACTTGTCTTCTTCTCTTGGTTTCAATATTCATGAGCAACTAGGGTTTCTCAAGAGGGGAGGCACAAGTAGAGGGGCGGCCAAAGGTGGGGAGAAGAGAGGGGCGGCTTAGATGAGAGGACTTAGGTTAGGTTGAAGAGGGGAGAGAAGTTTTAATTCAAATCTGAAATTAATTTCAAATTTTAAGTAGAATTGGAGGGATTTTTTGAAATTTGAAATCAAATTAAATAGGGGTGGGGCCTCATTAGGAAGCAAAGGAGAAAATCCCCATTGATGGGGCCGGCGGTATCAAGAGAGAAGGGTGAGGGGATTGTGGAGGAGTTGAGTACTTTCCAAACAAGCTAAGGCAAATTAGGAGGGAAAATAATAAATCCTCTCTAAATTAAATTTAGATTGGATTCAAATTTGAAAACTTTTCTTATTTAGAATTTTGTAAATATGGAAAGTTTTTTAATTTCAAATTTGAATTTCAAAATTTTCTAACTCCTTCCTTCATTGCAAAAGCCAATTTAGGGAGTCATTATGATGATTAAAATCATCATAATGACTTGGGATAAGGATGGGGCTGGCGGTCAAGGAGGGAAGAGGTGGGCTTGGCGTCGGGTTGAGGTGGCCAAGGGCTAGGACGACGGGTGGGGGGCTTGGAAGGGGAATTAAGTGGGATTGAGGTGAGGTATTTTGGTTGCAGGAAGAAGGTGGAAGAGTGACGAGAAGCCGGTGGGTGATAACGAAGATAGAATAGAGAACGTAGAAAAAGACCACGAGCCACGGACTCTTCCAGTGACTGATGGGTATTGCGCTTGCCCACATGTTGGGCTCTCCCTTCTCTCTAGTACACTCACAAGAAGAAGAAGAAGACAAAACAAAATTTTATTTAATCATTCATCATCCTATTACAACACATAAGACCACTATATATGTCTCAAACATGAAAAAAAAAAGTACACAATTGCCCTCCTGGCTACAATAACAAAACACTTCCCCATAAGGGTAAACTCGAAAAACAACAAAACTAAATAAAACATAATGCATCAAAAGTAGAGACACTGAATCGTAGTCGTCGATCTACGATTTCGTTGCCGGTACACGTGTCAGAATCTCTGAACGATGTCATCATCACAAGTACATCTATATGCATGCCTATGTTCATTTTATATCACTATGCTGGATTATTTCCTTTAAAAACTTACACTATTATCTCAACCATTTATCAGGAAAAAAATATATTATTCACCTTATTTCTCAGGCTACATTAAGAACTGAATAAGCTTATAGAACTTCACTTTATAAACCAATACTAAATTATTGTCTGATGCAGCATCAAGACAAAGGTCAAGAACAAGATCACAAATCAATGTCATGGATCAAGATTTGAGCCGTTCATTATGCACAACTCTCCATACAAGCCCATAAACGTCTCATAATCCTCATTAAATCATAAGAGAGTAATTAAAAAGCTAAATTTAAAGCCATTGATGGGTAGATGGAACATATCAGTCGAGAAGACAATAATCTTCAAAAATTAATTGATTTCAAGACCACTTTATTAGTCTTATATGGTCAATCCGAATTTTCATATATTTAAAAGCTTTTTATTTAGTTATTTCTTTTTTTTCTTTCCTTTTATATTAGGTCATGTCAACAAACCATATAATTATTGGATCATAAGACTTTTCAAAGTTGTCTACTCTTGAAAAAAAACCTATAAATAGGATAATGTTTTATACTAATTGATTCATTGAATAAAATCTATTTGTGAATGTGTAAATTTCATATAAAGAGGCTTGGTGGCTGCTCTACTTATTGGTAAAGCTTGGAGGTTGACCCCCCTAAAGCTTTGGTTTGTCCTTAATTATCTCTTCTTACCATTAGCCCCCTCCTTTTCTGATACAATTTTCACCACTTCCACTTAGCCTTGAGTCTAGTTCCCTCAACTCCAAAACACATCCAACATCTCCAAAACTCTCCCAAATATCTTCACGCATCCCTCAAAATCTTCTAGGGACTCAAATCTCCAATAACCACAAGAACTCATAGCAAAAATACCAATATCGCGAGTCGATTTCCTTCTGTGAGCAACCGACTTAAAAACAACATAATGCCTTAACTATTAATCAAAAACCCAAAAAAACTACCATTAGTTCCCAAACCTTTGATTAGAAGTTCCTACCTATTTTTATCCAGGAAAAACTTGTCATTTGAAAGTCTAAAAGTTTCATCTCTAAATCTGTCAAAAACTTGTATTCTCATTTCACCAACAACCAACTAAACCATCTATCACCACCATAAGAAGACACCAATCAAATCGCTGCCTTTGCTACATAGTGGTATCAAAGTCAATGGCTCCAAAGAAGTCAAGGCCAACAACCTTGAATGCAAAAAACTGAAAGTTTTTGCTGAAGGGTCTAATTTTCTCAAGAATGGAAGAATTTGAGGTACCTTGCAAATAAGTTTTGTTTTTCTTCAATAAAGGTCATTATTGCTATCCCAAAGCCTTAAATTTTCTTATTTGGTAGCTTATTCAAACAAATTTAGAAAAATTATATGTTATTTAGCAATTCTACAAGAATTTTTCTTTATCCAAATTATTAACACTACAAAAAAGACCTGACCTAACCTTTGTATGAACATACTATAACTTAAATTTTTCTAAAATTCCTTAAATAGAAAGGGTATGTTCCACGAATAAAAACCTTCCCTTAATTGAAATTAAGGTATGATAGCTAGAAATTATATTTATGTAGTCATCATTTAAACTTTCTAAGCTTTGTGCATTTATTATTATTTAAAATGATTGGTTGCCTTGCAAAAATTATAAAAGATTAAAAATAAATTGCATGCATTAGAATATATTGTACTAAATACAGTGCTTTTAAGGCTAAATAAAACTTTGTCAAAAGACCTAAACTGTCTGATGAGAACTTAGGACGTAACTGGTCATGTACCATCATCTTCTCCTAGAAGTTCTCTTTTAACCTCAATTTCACTTTGATAACACATGTATTCTTTTCCCTCTCTCATCTTTCTCTCATTAATTATTTAAAAATAATAATAATAATCACCACACATTGCATATCAAAATGTCACCTAAAATTGTCACCTTACATCAATTTGAAGAATTTCAAAATAATGTAAGCAACATCCATAAAACCACAGAAAAAAAATAGATGTTATTGATGAAAACTTTAATAGGTTTTCCACTTTTCAACACCAATGACAAAATTTAATAATTAGGCTCCACACCCCACCTAAGCCTAAACCTAGGGATGATAAACTTAGAAGACTTCCTATATAACGACATCAACCTAGACAAGATTTTAGGGTTTCCCAAATAAAAATTAAAGCCACAACTTTTAATGAAATTCATGACCCTAATAAATTTCTATACCGATTGACCTAATGGAGGATTTTTTAATTGGTATAATATTTTGATTATCAGCACACAATCTTTGCCAAGAGAAAACTTATAGGGTATGCTAAAGTATATTGGACCAATATCATAGCAAAAAAAAAAAACTTAGGAGTGATGGAAGCCAATGGACTTGGGTTGACCCGAAAGAACTTTCAAAATCAAATATCATCCGAGGTTTCTTGAAAAATATCTATATAACCAAATATTAGCCCTCAAATAAGGAACTACGCCTGTAATTAACTATATGAATACCTACGAGTCCCTTCTGGCATGGACAAACTACACCGACCTTGATCGACAACTTGCCAATAAATTTGTCACTGGACTCCAATATGAAATTAGGAATGAAGTTGAGTTACATAGTCCTTATACTTCAAAAGATGCCTTTCACTTTACTCGGATAATTGAGAAAAAAAAGAAAATGATCCGCTTTTTAAAACCTAAAAAACTATCATACTCAACTTGCACATCTAGATCTTCTACTAGACAATCAGCCTCAACAACTAATATCTTGTCATTTACTAGTACTCACCAGCCTAAAACTCCCCCTGAACCCAACCATAATATAACTAATGATATTATTTGTTTTAAATGTCAAAAAAAGGTCATGCAAAGCCAATGTACTGCAAAAATCCTATTTTAGATGAGACTGAGTCCCTTGAATATAATACCTATGAGGTATTTTTGGATGATGACCCTTTTCAAAAATAAAAATTGAATTGAATGAACTCATGACTTCTATGAGATGTCTTATAGTGGCAAAACAAAATTTAAAAAACTGACTTCAACATAGCATTTCTCAAATAATAACCACTTGTAATGAAAAGATATATAAAGTTTTTATAAATGGTAGAAGCACAATGAATACTATCTCCACTAGTTCCCTTATTTGGATAAACCTAAAACATGAACCTCAACCTGAGCCATTTCATACAAGTTGGGTAAATTACACATTTTTACCTGTTACTCTATATGCTTAATTTCAATTAACGTAAGTACTTATGAGAATCAGATCTGGTGTGATGTTCTGCCCATAAACATAGGGCACATGCTATTAGAGCAACTATGGCTTTATAATAAGGGCCCGATTTATAATGATCGTGAAAATATTTATGTATTCAAAGTTAATAATAAGACCATCAAGTTGCTCCCCATAAAACCACAAGAGAAATAAGTCTTACTTCCCCCACATAAAACCTCTTCTAACCTAAAATCTATGATTTCCCATAAGAAAACAGTCAAACTATAGATTATAGTTATTGACCCCCCTACTTCACCCTCACCCTTAGCCCTGAAAGCATTCTCGACTAATTTACCTCCTCTTATTATGATCCATATTGAAAATATAGGGTTCAAAGGGTTGAGAAAAAAAATTTCATGGACGTCACACTATATACTTTTTACATGTTAAGGAGAGATCTCTCTCACTTCTTCAAAGACTCAAATACCTCTGTAATCTCTAATAACTTTTTTGAGCTCTCTAATCTGACCCCTGATGAATTAATTGATAAGCTACCTCTAATGAGAGATATCCAGCATGCCATTAACTTCACCCCAGGTTCATAATTGCCTAACTTACCCCATTATAGGATGAAATTTACTGAATATGCATAATTGCAAGCCAAGTGAATGACCTTCTTAAGAAGGGCTTCTTATACAAAAGTTTTAGTCCCTGTGTTGTCCTAGTCCTTCTCACACCAAAACAGATGAATATTGGAGAATGTGCATACATAATCATGCCATAAATAAAATCACAATTAAGTATAGGCTCCTCATCCCTAGATTGGAAAACATGCTCGATCTTATTTCTGGGCCAGTCATTTTCTCTAAAATAAATCTTAAAAGTGGCTATCATCAAATTAGGATAAAACTTGATAATGAATAGAAGATTGATGTTAAGACACCAAAGAGCCTATATGAATAGTTAGTTATGCTCTTTGGCTTGTCCAATGCTCCTAGAACCTTCATGAGATTGATGGTTAAAGTATTTAAATTATTCATAGAAAAGTTTTTAGTGCTATACTTTGATGATATTTTGATCAATATCAAGGTTGAAAAATTACATTTAGGGCATCTTCAACTTGTTTTTAAAATCATAAGAGCTAAAAACTTTACATCAACCAAAAAATGTTCCATTAAAAAAACTCATATTCCTAGGGTTCATCATTTTAATTAATAGACTCCAACATGACCCTACTAAAATTAAATTTATAATAGAGTGGCCAATACTAAAATCATTCTATGATGTTAAGTGTTTTTATGGATTGGCCACATTTTATCGGAGATTATTAAAGATTTTAGTGCAATCATGGTCCCAAGGACATACCTCCTTAAAAAAAACAAGTTTGTATGAATACTAAAGTAGTCAAAGCCTTTGACCAGATTAAAATCCTCATGACCACTTAACATATCATTTGATTGTTTGACTTTGCCAAGCCTTTTGAAGTCTCTTTTGATGCATCTAGGATCGACATAGTTGGAGTGCGTAGTCAAGACGATCATGTTTCTTATTTTAGTAAAAATTTAAACCATGCAAAGTAACGTTACTCCAATTATGATAGGAAATTTTATGTCATTATCTAATCCCTAAAACATTAGAGATATTATCTATTACATAATGAATTTGTCCTACATTTTGACCATCAAGCACTTAAATTCATCAACACCAAAAAAAAAAAAAACCTTAATCACAGGCATGCAAAATGGGTTGAATTCATATAAGACTATTTCTTTATGTTGAAGCACAAATCAAGTATGAAAAATAAAGCTGTTTATACCATATCATGAGTTACTTTAGTCATCACCTCGTTAAAATCACAAATCCTTAGATTTTTAAGGATAAAAGATAAGTATACCACATGCCCTAATTTTCATCTTCTTTATGGTGATCACTTGAATAAACCTCTTATTCCGACTGGCCTTTTTTCTGTTCTACATGGCTATCATTATCAAGAAAAAAAATTTTTGTATCCATAGATCATCGCTTCAAGATTTTCTAATAATTAAACTTCGGTCTAGATATATAACGGGACACTTTGGTAAAGATAAAACCACTAAATCAAAAGAATCAAGATTTTGATAGTTAGAATGATTTTGCCTTCAGCAAAGTTCTGAGTTTTAATTTACGTATGGCAGATACTTAAAGAAAAAGGCCAGTCATAATTTGAGATATTTTAAGTAAGCGCTTAAGTTCTTTGATTAGAAATCTCCAGTATCTCATGGGCTGCACCACACCCCAATGCCATAAAATATGGGAATAGAAGAGGAAAGATATAAGAAAATAGATCCTCCAAACATGGAAAGGGTAAGAAACTAAAGACAACAATAAGTTGTTTCAGAACTATCCGATAAAGAAAATTGTTTCAAGATTTAGGCTTTCTCTTTAGGATCTACAGGTGGAGAAAAGTCAACATCGAAAAAAAATTAAAAGTTATAAAGCAGATCACACCCTGTAATTGAAAACATCAAAAACCACTGCCTAAAGTACCAATTATAGCACCAATTCACACAGCATCTCTTAAACCAACCTCCCGGGAGAGAATTGTGCTTATCTCAAACTTCAGTCTGGCATCATTAACTTCCCCCACACGCCTCCTCTGATATTGCACATACAAGTCCCTAAAATTTGAGAAAATAGCAAAAAAACAATCATAAGAACCTAAAAAGATGTAAACCAGTTTTTAAAAAAAAATGTAAACCCAGATCTTTGAACCGAGAACCTCATCTCATGCACGAGCTTGAAAAGCCTGGAAGGATCTTTGCTATTCCAGTCCCACAAGCTGCTTCTCATTAACCGGGCTTGAATTTCCGCTCCCCCCTCACGATCACTAACTGGAAGAAGTGGTCGGAATTCTTCATCATCAAGCAAGAAGACAATGTCGGGTGCCGAGAAGGGATAGAAAGCATTATATATAATATCCCCTATCACACCAAAAAATCGCGAGTTAACATAACCCAAGTAAGCGATGAAGTATGGCAATGAGAAACCACGCTAACAAGAAATTTACTCACATTTAACGTAGTCGAGACAAAAAGGGACTAGGAGGGTAAAGCGGTCGGAGAAGCGTGAATTCTTGCAACCGGACCAAATCTGTTCGATCTGAGGAAGAATACGATAAGATCTAAAGTTAGGGTTTGTGCTTGTCGATCGTAATGGACAAAAAGAAGTCTCAGCTTATGTTAGTACCCTGAATGGGTGAGGAGAATGGACAAGTAGATACTTGAGCTGCGCGGAGATGGAAGGCGGGAGCGGTGGCTCTGAAACCATGGCTGTTGAAGCAACCCAGAGCGAACGATCGCAAAGCGCAGGCTTTAGGGTCTGGAACTGAAAAACTATTACAGCGAACTTTAGCAAGCTTCGAATAGCGGGAGCCGTGAATGGATCCAATGGGTCATGGTTGTTGACTTGAGTCGTGCACTTTAAATATTTGTTGCTCTTCTTTGAATATATATTATATTTTTTTTTATATTTACGTATTTAATAATTAAATTTTTAATATTTTATTATATAATACTTAAATAATTAAATTGCATCAAAAATATCATTGATATATTTTTTTTATTTTGCATAACTTTTAATATGATTTAGATATCAAAATGATATATATATATATATAGAAAATTTGAAGTGTTAGATATATAAATACATGAAAATATTGTAATATATATGTAAATTTAAAAAAAAATTATCAATGCATTATTAAGAGTTTTTTTTTTTTGCATGATGAAAATTATTATAAAGCATAAGATATGGAATTGGGAAATAGTTGTAATTTCTCGTTGAAAAATGCTAAGAAGCAAAACTGTACGCACTAAAAGCTCGTCTTAAATAATCATTTTAGCAATTTTTTTACATTAAAAATAAAAAGTTAAAAATTATTTACACTCTATCAGTTTTGATTAATCCATCTATGTTACATGCTAGAAAATTCATGTCAATAGAGTGCTTAATATCCTAATTTTATAATAAGATCCACCATGCATTGACAAAATTTGTAAGAGAATAAATTTTGTTATGTGAAAAATCCAAAAAAAAAGAAAAGGTTGGCTAAATTATAATAATCCATCATATAATTATAGATACAAGAATCAATTTTTCTCTATAATTTTAAAGAAATAATTATACAATTGATAATAATTATCTAATTCTCTTTATAGGAATAACATAAATTAAGTGTTCATATACAAACCGTTAAAGTCCAACAACATTGTTGAATATTAGTAGTCAAGCTACAATAGTAAGATGATGGATGGTCGTCGAGTGCAATCATGGGGAAATGAATTAAAACTCTTCTTTTCTTTCAACTCTTGAACCTCCTTGCAAACAAGTAATTATATATTTTTTTAATAATTAAAAGATCCCATAATTCAATTATTAATAATAGGTAATTATGTATGAAAATTATGAAATGATTTTGAAATCATCAACTTGATGTGCATGAGCAATAATTCATACTCCAATGAATCATGTAAGCATTTTTTAAAATTGAAATATGCAAATTGGAAATTTCAAAACTTGCATGATAGTAAATATTAATTGAATTCAATGTCCAAATGGATTCAATAAGCATAAAGAACATCTCCAAGCAATTTGATACTTTTTTTGGAAATGTTTAAGTAATTAAGGTTTCATTTGGGATAGCTTTCTTGCCACTTTCTAAAGCATTTTTTTAGTATATAAATTTTTAATGCAAAAAAAAATTGTACTAAAAAGTTGTTTTAGAAAGCAATAATAAAGTTTTCACAAATGAAGCTTTAATAAGTTAAAATAATTGGTATTTTATATTTTCATAAAGCTATCCAAAACGAAACATAATTAAAAGATTTTTTTTTATTGAACAAAGTTAGATCATTTAAGCTCAATTAGTCAAGAAAATATCAATTGAGTTTAATTTGTGTATTATGAACTCATTTAATTCAATTGGACAAATTGGTTTAAGTCAATTTGATTATTTTGGTTATTTTAGCCTTAAGGGTTCAAAGGGGTCCAATTGGATTCAAGGAGGCCAATTGGTTTAATTGGGTTGACTCACTAGTTACACTTAAGGTAAACAATTGTAAAAACCAATGCAATAATTGGATTGACCCATTTTTTGTCAAATTAGTCAAAATGACCTAAATGATTCAATAGATCAAGTTGGGTTTGATGAGATAATCAAACTTTGTTTACTATGGATGATTTATTGAAATTCAATGTAAGGCTCGGGTTCAATCAAAATTGTCAATTTCATGGTTATGGCATGTTTAAGTTAAATATGTCAACTAAGGCCAGTTAGGACTTAAAAGGAACAATTTCGCTTAAAGAGTTTATTTATAACATATTGGAACCTACTATGATTAATAACTATGAATAGGGGTGAAATTGAGCTGAGTCGAGTCGAGTTCGAGCCTTAGCAAGCTAGAGCTAAACTAAAATAGATTTCAGGTGGCTCGAACTCGACTTGTGTCTTCAAACCTTAGGGTAGAGCTCGACTCGTGTTTTCAGACCTTAGGCTAGAGCTCGACTCGTTAATGCATGGGTGGTTGAAAGAATTACCTAAAAATTTTGTATTCACCTCTATAAGAAATCGAATAACTACAAAGGAGATGAAAGGGGAAAATTTAATCGAAGAGTATTGCAAAGAATGGAGCCTAGAGTGATCAAAAGATGATTTTGGATGGTAGTCTCGAACCCAAAAAGAAGATTGAGAAGAGATTGTGGGAACATCGGGAAGGAATGAATGTGAAAATGGGAGCGACAACAAGTTTCACAGTTGAAAGAAAGAAGAAGGTGGGTGAGAAGATGACTTAGGGAGCAATAACATAATCTCATTTTCAAAAATAGCTTATATTCTCATCTCACATGACGCATTATGTAACTTGCCCACCCAAATTTACTAACCCATACCAATTCAAGCGGGCCGACAGGTAATAAGGTTGAGTTTGCCTTGGCTCGAACTCGAGCTCCTGACTCAATAAGCTCGACTCATGAGCTCGAGCAAGCTCACGAGCTCGTTAACTCGTTTTCACCCCTAACTATGATTGATTAATTTTATTTTATTGTCTATATAATTTAGCGGCTAGCTATGAGTTTAACTTAATTTGGGGTAGTTTAATTGTCAATATGGATTAATCTATATATAGTTTTCTAGTTTGAACCTATTGGAATAGGTCTAACCAATTAATGAGTCAAAAAAAAACTAATTGAGCTCAAAGGTCTAGTAGGGGTTTAGGTTGACTTTTGGTGGACAACAATGAAAACCAATTAAGTGATCCAATGTTTAATTAAATCTAACTTAAATATGACTAAATTATTGGATAAGGCAATTGAAGGCTTAGAAAATCAATTGGTCTATTAGGCCTAATTGGGATTAAACTTGAAGTAAGGTTAACCCATAGGTTAAACTTGAAGTAAGGTTAACCCAAGTAAGGTTAACCCTTAAGTAAAAAAGAAGCTAAACTTTTAAACATCAATATTCCTTTTAGTGTAATGGTTAGAATTTTATTTAAGAAATTTTGCATTTAAGTTTGCTCATCCCAGAGAAATGAAAACCAATTGATATGACATGATTTATATAAGACATATATTATGGCTGATACAAGTATTTGAAAAAATTGATACAAATATATTTAATATATATTTATATGATATACATACATAACATAGGCGATATATGACATGCATATGATAATGATAGGTGTACTAATGTAATAAGATGCTATATAAACTATTTTATAATTATTGGGTATAAAATTAATAGGACAACTAATTATGGTTCCCTTGGCTACTGATTACTATTCTTACGATATATAGTTGTACTGATGTTTATTGATTATATTTCATGTTATTATTTCATTAATGTTACATGCTTTTATATTTATATGTTCATGCTGATAGTGATTGAATGATTACATGCATATTATTTATATTATCTTATATTAATTTCAATTGTAGGTTTTGATAATTTACTAATTAAGTTGTTAGCTCACTCTGTTGTTTTATAATTTCAGGAAGTGGTTAGGATTTAGTAGAGTGATGAGAGATCAGGAATTCATGTTTTATTTTATTTCTATATTTTTTCTCTAGTTCTATTCTTTTGTAATGAGGAGCTTAGAAAGTTGAAATGAATGTAATGATTGATCTCATGGCTTTTGTACATAATTTTAGGGATGAATATAGTTTTATATTTTGATATGTAGAATTTTTAGTTGCTTCTAGATTAATTAATATTTATAGATATATCTTTTAAAATTAGATTCTAGAGTGGTACAAGTGATATGTGCATCTAGTAGATTAATTAATAGATAAATAGATAATTCTTTTTAAATTAGAAGCTCTGGTTGGTTAATTCATAAAAGCTCTGGTTGATTAATTAATAGATAAATAGAGAATTCTTTTAAAATTAGATTCTAGAGTGTTACAAGTGATATGTGCATCTCACTTTAATGTGAAATGACACCATTATAATATCTTAGAAAACAATAAAAAGGTGAATCCTATAGATTCTAAAGATTATAGAGTTTTAAATTAGGACTAAAAATCCTTTGTTCATTTTAGGATTTGCTAAGGTTATAAATGATCACTTGAGACTATCTAAAGTAAGGAGCAACGGGTAATATGAATATTATAGTTCACTGAATGAAGTTGGATATAATAAGCAAGATGTATGGCTTAAGGAAGATAAATCAAGTTAGATTATAAGCATATCACCAAAAGTATAAGGGTATACTCTAGGCGAATAAATTAAGTTGTAAGAAGGTGTGATATGGGTCATGCCATTATTGTTTATTAAGTAATCCAATGATGTAAGGTGGTCTGCTTATGGATTTCAATATAAGGCTAAGGTAGGACCACTAGACATCTTAAGAATATTAAGACATATTATGGCCAAATATTGGTTTAGAGATATATTGGGTCAATTAGGATCCAATAGGATTGGTGATCTGCTTATGAATTTATAGGTCATGCAAAGGTAAGAATACTAAACATCATAATGTTAGTGAGAAAATGCTATTATTAGGAAGAGATATAAGAAGCCTCAATATTAATTAAATTCCAATATGATAGGTAGTTTGCCTTTGAATATTAAGGTCAAGCTAAGATAAGTTAATATATCATCTACAATCACTAAGGTAAACTAAGTAAACTAAACAAGTTAAAATCAACACTTAAAATGAACCAAAGTTAACACCTTATAGAAACTGGGTAAGCCTAAGTTTAAACATATTTTAAAGTGTTTAAAAGTATTTTATAAATATTTAAATAATTTTTAAATTTTTAGTATCACTTAAATAGATGTATGATATAAAGATGTTAAATATTAAACAATATTTAATATATCCTAATATCTCCTAATACACATTTTAAAGTTTATTGGGATAATTAAGTTTTTTTTTTATACTTTTTTAGTTTGAGTTAAAGCTTGTATGAATTATCAAAATCTTAACAATTTCATTAGAAAATGATGTAAGTCAAAACCTAGCATTATTAATTTCAAATAATTTTATCTTTAGTAAAAGTTATGATTTATTAAAGTTTGAAAGCATTCATAGTTAGAAATTGACTATTATACTTTCAACATGGTTCTATAACAATGTAGTTTATGTTATCCTTAGGCTGGACCCCCCTATCCATAATAAATATCAACCATTTTATCTACGATCGAGCAATCCTATTAAATTGGGAAACCTAGATATTTAATGATATGATTAAATCATAGACAATGATTTAACTTAATCTGATGGAAGGACTTAAGGGACTTCTTTAACCTCCAACAATAAATAAGAATTGTTCATTAAAAGAGTCTTAATGTCTGACAAAACATAACATTCTTTATATGTGAGTACTAGATCTCCATTAGGAGATAAAGAAAAACCTATCCCTAAGGCCATATCATTAGTTACAAAGTGTGCATTCATAAAATAACTAAACATAGTTATAAATTTTATGATTATGGACATTATTTTCATAACATTTGGTGCCTAAAATCCAAAAGGTTATGTGAGGTTTTCTTAGAAGAGATGAATCTTTGATAAAAGAAACTACTCATGTCTTTTTAACAAGCTTTATACTAACGAAAGCACTATTATGAGCTTGTAATACTTCATTATAGGTGCACATAGAGGATATTAATTACAAATGGGATAATAGAGGAAGCCTCACAATCACTTACGAATCTTTAGAAAGCAAAATATAGATAATAAGGAGATTTATAGAGAGGTACTTGGTTCTTTCTTAATTTAAGCTATGTCAAATGGGCCATTCTTAGGCCTAATTTCTTTAGAAGGGAGAGATAATGGTGGCATGTCAAGTGTAGGATATTTCTAAGTTGCTATATTGGCCTTATATCAAGCTTTTGAAATCTCATGGATAAAGTGCCTTATATCAAGCTTAATTAATATATAACCATCCAATTAAACCTAATGGATGTTTGAGGTGAGCTAAGGAGGCAATGGGGAAGCCATAGGAGAATCTAATCTAAATGTTATGGTTTAGAAAAGCTAACTAAAAGAAATTATCCTAGAGATTTAGTTAGGTTAGTATGATTAGGCTACATAGGCTAGCTAAAGGTGCTTGAATAGTTTGTTAAAAAATATGTTATGAATGTATAAGTATGAGAAGATATTGAGATCTTCAAAATTAAATAAGACAACATGATCTACAAAGTTGAGAGAAGACACTGAGATCTTCATATTTGGAGAAGACATTGAGATCCTTGAAGTTAGATAAAAAAAGAATTAGGCCATTTTAGTAAAGAAAGATACTAAAATATTTAAGGTTGGAAGGGAATTAGGATTCTTGATTGGAGAAGATGCTAAGATCTTCAAGGATAGAGAAGATGTTGAGATATTCGAGGATGGAGAAGGTACTAATCTCTTCTTGATTGAAGAAGCTTTCAAGAACTTCAACATGAAACAAAATGTCATAATCTTTAAATTTGGAGAATATATTGAGATCTTTAAGTTTGGAGAACACGCTTAGATCATAAAAGTGGTGGGAAAACATCAAGATCTTTAACGTTAAAAGATGTTAAGATCCTCTTAGTAGGAGATAATGTCAAGATCTTTACGGTGGAAGAAAATATTGAGATCAAAAGATATTGAGATATTCAGGGTTGAAGAAGATGTTAAAAACTTCATAATTAGAGAACATGCTGACATCTTCAAGGTTAGAGAAAATGCTAAGATCCTCAAAGTTGACGAATATGATGGGATCAACAAATTTGGAGAATATACTTAGATCATCATAGTTGGGAGAAGACATTGAGATCCTCTTGGTAAAGGAAATTGCAAAGAGCTTCATGGTGAGAGAAAACATTATGATCATCTTAATTAGAAACGATGTTGAGATCTTCACTATTGAGTTTAGATAGATTATTTTAAGGATCTTGATGAGAAACATTCAAAGAAAGAACAATCCTCTAAGGGACATACACAGATTGAGGATAAAATTTATACTGAGTGGCTTAGAATTAAAGCCATACTTATCTTACTGTGGTCTTGGCCTTACATAACATATAATCTAAAAACTATATGCGTGATATAAAAACACATAATCAATAGTAAAAAACTCTAATATTTTATGGGAGATGATTTTGCTCTAAAAGTAGACATCTAAGGATATGTTATAACAGTATAAAGTTGGCTTCATAGACCCGATCGAGAAACTTAATAGGTGGGATGGAAACATATCAAAGTATCTCAAATGAGGAAGAGCATAAAGGACATCGTAATAAAGAAAAAATTTAGGCCTATGTAATTGAACCCAAAGTTATTATCATACTCTTCTTTGGCGGTTACTTCAATGAGGTTAATCCAATGTTACCCTTCCTGCTAGGGTTATGGTCTAAGAAAGAAGATCCTTTGTCATAAGCATGGAAGGAGTTGGCCTAGTTGTGTTGAGCTAGTCCACGCCATTCTAGATTGGCTAGATTGAATCAAGTGAATTGGATATTATCCGTTTGAACCCTAATTCCTATTGGTTCTGGAGTTTTTAAACTTGATTCAGCCTCGCAGAGTCTCCTCTTGCAAGTTGATCCTCTGACATAATCTAATTTAATTTAGTTAGTGTTAGTCAAACAAACAAGACTTCAATTTCAATGTTTTTCTTAACAAATAATATTTTTCTAATTATATGATTTAATGGAATTATCATGTTAATTAATTTTTGATGTTAGATGAATATAATAAAATATATTTCTTATTGCGTTATGGAATATTCTTTGCGGTAGAGAAATATAAAGTTTAACATCCTAACTTTGTACAAGGATCCGTCCGACCCTTGTTCGTCATTAGATTTGACCTGATGATTGATTATTGTAATCTGATCGTCCTCAACTGCAAGAACAAATCAATCATTTGTAATTCACTCAAATTTAGTGGAATCATTTCGACTAGGTGCGGCCCCATGATTTTTATCTTTTCAATGATTTTTCATGTAAAAATCTCGATGTTTATTCTTCTCTGTTTATGTGCTAAATATTCGTAGAACGCTAAGACGAAAAATTCTCTGACTTTATTGAGGCATATATTTAGCCCACAACATTACTAAAAAGTATAGCTCATGCATGGATTAATTTTTTTATGAATTAATGATTAAGAAATCAAAAAGTATGTGTTTTGAAGAAATAAGCATCTTAAGACTTCAAATATTGGGCCACATATACTTTCCCAATAATTCTATGAAAATAAATTTCTATCAAAATAATCTCATACTAATATAAAATATATATCAAATTATCTTACATAGTTCCTTTTCATTTCTCCACTCTCCACGCACAGAGCATAAAGCAAAACTCCGACGACCCATCGCCGCACTCATTCTGCTCTGCAACCACCTGCTGCTTTCCCTCGTTCTCACTCGACCAACTCAAATCGCTCTCGCTCCTCTCCTCATTCTCCTCCTCCTCCTCCATCAAGGCCATCTCCGCCAGTGCCGTCGCCATCGCCGTTGCAGCCGCCGCCCCAGGCTTAAATATAAACAACGCTTGCCCCATCCCCGGCCCCCCAAAAAACCAATCATGAACATCCCAGAAAACCTGAACCGGCGAACCCTCCACCATCACCGTTTCATTTCCCCTGAACTTCCACTGCAAATTACTCACATGCATCATTACAATCCCATCAATTCTGATCCACATTTCCGCATCCTCCTTCCCATTCACCCCTGATATCGAATTCTCCACCACAATTTCATGCTCTCTTTTCCTCTCATCAAACCTCGCCTTCGTCGAGAAAGACCTTTTCCCAAACACATTTTCCTTCTTCAAAACCATTTTCGCGTCGTCGAGCGACGGCCGCGCCTTGGTCCGTTTATAGGCTTTCTTCTTCAAGTCGCCGAGAAGGAGGACGACCTCCTCGCCGCTGACGAGAGCGACGTAGTAGCTTCCGGTGGGTTCCGGGCTACCTCCACCGGAGAATTTGGCGTGGCGAAGGTTCCAGAAAAGGTCGACTCGGTGATCGCCAACGTCGACGGATTTGAAACCCTTCTTGCTCCAGAAGGGCCATGGCTTGAGATCGACTCTGCAGGTGGAGGGTGGATCGCAACTTCCGCCGGAACCGTCGACGGAGATGGAGAGGGAGTGGTTGATGAGAGTCTTGTTCCACACTACCGTTACCCTGCGGAGCTTGTTACCGATCTTAGCTTTGTACACGATGATCACAGAGCATTGCGGGGTTGTTTTTCCGCCAGAATTGCCGGTTGCCGTAGATTCCTCTGGCTTATTGTTTCCGGGCACTGGAGAGTTTGTTTCCTCCATCTGTCATTCCAGTCGCGCCTTCCACGCCACCGTTGCAACCTTGCAATTAAATAAACAAGGATCGAAATACAGTATCATTTGCTTGGTTGACATTTTATAGGAGTTAAAAATTAATGAAATTAGCATTTCGAAAACATTTTCGTTTCTTCTGAAAAGAAATGAATCATTGGAGGAAATTGATCGATCGAAAACAAAAAGAAAAAGAAAAAAAAAGGTTACCTGTTGGTAGGGTAAGGGAGATGGTGAGGAGCAAGGTAAGAGATCCGATGAAGAGATTCCAGCTATCAGAATGAAAAAGGAAGGATTTAGGGTTATAAGAATGAAAATGGAGGATGGGGACTCCGCACAGAATAATTTTTCGAGGTGGAGAAGAGGGCTACAGATTCAAAGAAAGACAGAAAGGGTTGGGGTTAATGGGTTTAGTTTGTTGCTTTGTTAGGAGGTTTATTTGAGATTACAATTTTGTCCATGGATGAGAGCGAGTGGTGCGGACGTTTTTGGTCTATGGAAGGAGCCAAAGGGTGAGGGTATTATAGTCTTTCAAAATTTTGGATCCTGTGAACCGCGGTTTGCTTTGCAGCGAGAGAGCCACGTAAATTGCGCCTACAATGCAGCGACGCCGTCCTTTTGTTTTTATTTTTTTAGTTATTATTGTTTTTTATTTTTAGTGTCAAATCAAATGCATAGTTAATGTGGACGGTGTTCCATCCTACTTTTGACAATTAATTTTAATTTTTAATAGAAAATTTAAAATTTTATTCAACTGAATTAGTTTATATATATATATATATATAAAACTTGCTGATATTTTCTCTCTTTATACCCCATAACCACAAAAAGTTACTTGGTGCGGACATCTGATATAGCTCTACAGTCGGATGCCAATAAAATGATACCACGTAGTGCCCCGACGACATGTAGACCCGACTTGATGAAAACTTGAAATTAAGCTCGTGCTTTTCCAAATTTATGCGAGGCCCAACGACTCGACCTAGATCGGACGTGAAAATTTACTTTTTAATGAAAAAAGACCTGCGGGCCACTGTCAAAAATTCAAAATCAAGGCATTTCAATTTCTCTTCATCTCTGAGTGATTCATCTTTGTCTGAAGCTCCTTTGTTTCCTCATCACTATCATTGCAAAAGTCGTGCCAAATCTTCGTATTTTGTTACGAGGATAGAAGTACATTCTCCATTGAAACTGTTGGTTCTATTTTCCTGTAAAATATTTATATAAATAAAATGTATAGGTTTAGGGTTTCCAACTTTTAATTGCTGCTGTAAAAATGTTTTTAGAATGTATGTAGGAAATAAGATTTGAATGCTCAGTACCATTGTGTACCGAGCAGCAGTACACATGTATGCGGAGGTTTCAAATATTGCTAAACCTTTTTAACATATGCGTATCAGAGATTCAATGTGGGTTTCAAATATAATTTTTTCCTTAATATCAATTCAATGTTTATATTTTTGAACTCACATTACAGATACTCGACAAACTCGGTATCGCTCGGTAGCTGATACCAAGCGGCTGTACTAGGTACTATGCTCAGTACCATAATAGCTCGGTACCTTTTGGTTATGTAGCTTGGAACTTGTCTATACCAATGCTTAGGAACCATTGTATATTGCTGCTCGGTACCCCTTTGCACAAACTATGACTAACTATGTCTACTTATTCTCATTCGCAATTTTGTAGGGATATTATTCAAAGATTTATTTTCATCGTAGAATTTCAACTTTAAGAGAAGTTTATAATCATTTGATCAGTACATTCATCCAACACTTCATTGATATGCTGAGGCAGCTACACATTAATCAGTTCCTAGTTATGCCTTCATTGAGTCAGAATATTCCCCTCATGCATATGTTGCTGACTAAGGGGATATCCGAAAGCAATATTTTGTTATCAAAAGAAATAAGTTACAATTCACTGTATATAGGTTGCTCTTATACTTTGACTACCCAACACAAGAGTTGAATTTGTTTCAGGAAGTGCCAGAATAAGTGAAAAAACAACCAATGAAATTATTTAACTTTCTGATATTTTCTTTTTCTATGCTTCATGCCTTCATGCGTGGGGGTACAAACTTTAATTATTTTTAATTGATTCTTAAAAGGGCACAAAGGAGAAAAAATGATTCATTGAGCATATCCCACATAAACATATATACTAGGATAAAGGCTTATTGTTGTTGTTTTTGTTATACTTAGAGCTACAAAAGAATCAAGTATTCCACATGTTACTCATGGCCCGAGTCATTTTACGTCTTGCTTGTTTAACTAATTAAACAAGTTTGAACCATTTTTTAAATACTCGATTCTTAAATAAATAATCTTGAATAACTATTTATTTGACTTGTTTATGATTATGAATAATATCATTTAAAGCTCATAAACAAATTCGATAAGAGCTCATTAAGAAGCTCGATTAATATTTGATATAGAGCTCGTGAACAAACTTGTTAAGAAACTAGTTTAATGTTTGATATAGACATGGGCAGACTCAGCTTAAGGCCGCCGTGGTGGGGGTGGTGGTGGGGGGAGTGCAATTGCCCCCCTTAAAAAAAAAATTATTATATAATTTTATAAGATATATAT